AGGGCCGCCCCCTGGGAACGTCGCCCTCCCCCTCGACTTCGCCACCGTCCGCGCACAGCCTCCCACCTGCCCGTTTCTCCTCGTCCCTTTTCCGTGCGTCGTTCTGCGTACAGTGCCGTTTTGAATACATGCTCCGCCTGCGGATATGGATTAAACATGCAGGGATTGAGTAGTAAAAACAACGATGAGTTCATGCATACATTTAAGCATAGATTAACCATGGATTACAAATCTTGTATGTTCAAAAAAATCCCATGTATTAGAATCTGCCCTGTACCCCTTTCTCCTCGTCCCTTTCCGTGCGTCGTTCTGCGTCGTTCATGCCTGAACTTATTCATACATGAATCATGTTGTTTAAACATCCTATATGTTTTAAGCATCCACTGTTTTTATATACTTATTTTTTGAATAAATACATAACAAACAGACAGAAAAAAACTGCCCTGTACTTTTCCCCGTGTGTGCTGCCTCGCCTCGCCGGAGGTACGCCACCCTGCACAACCACTGCGAGGATCCGAACACGTCCTTCTGCCACGGTCGCTCGGCGGTCCTGCAGGGCCGGGGGTGCGAGGGGGGACCGGCGCCACAAAAGAGGTCTTCCTTCGGAAGGGGGTGGGAGGAGAAGGGGCGCGGGAGGTGGAGGGGGAGGAGGAGGAGGGGGAGGAGGAGGAGGGGGAGGAGGAGGAGGAGGAGGAGGAGGAGGAGGAGGAGGAGGCCCGCCGCGGATCTCTCCAGGCCTCGAAAATTAAGGGACTCGCCCTCAAAAAGTAAGGGAATCCCTCGTCAAGTCGGGCATGCCCCTCAACAGGACGAATCTCTAGAAACAGTCAAGCAGTGGTCTGGGGCACATGTTTCGTGCTCTGTTGACCATGTTCTAGCCTGTCTTGACGAAATGCACTTCTCCTTTCAAAAAGCCGCCTGTGGGAAGAGACCTGCCCGACCGAACGCACGCGCCGCCACCCAGAGGGGGCCAGCGGTCCAACGTGGCTGGGGTCCGCGGGCCCGCGCCCACCAGGGATACGCCCGCGTGGCACGTGCGGGGCCCGCCCCCCCCCCGGCCACCCCGAGGGACCCCGGGCGGGACGGACGGGCGCAGAAGAGGGGGGGAGGAGGAGAAGGAGGACCACTGCAAGCCCAAGCTTCCTCGAACAGATTGCAAGCAGCCCTCCCTCCAAGCCTCCTCCTCGCAGGCTCCCGCGAGGGTGCAGTGTCACTGGAGGAAGTAACTACCCCGCTGGAAGACGACCGCTTGAATATCTTGAAATGCGCCAGGACACCATTCCTGAGATTTCAATGCCGCGAGTGGCCGTCACGGTTGTTTTTTGACGACTCTGACTCGTGCCATAACAGCGCGAACCAATGTCATAGCTCCGCCCTAATACTCCGATATCGCGCACCCAAAAACATGATGTACGTTAACCATGAGAGCCTTTGACATTGCTGTAAGCTCTTAGAGCGAATGTGCGCGGTACTCAGGCGAAAGCATCATGTTTCTAAAGGAACCGCCCTCATCAGCGAAACTACTGCATGTTGTTTAACACGGATGTGCGCGGCCTTAAGCCGAGAGCCACATGTTGAAAGTTCTTCGTGGTCCGTCCCCGAAGCTCCTGCAATTTGTTAACACGGATTTGCGCGGCGCTCAGGCGAGAGCCACACTTCAAAAACCAGTTGCCCTCAACCCGTGAAACTCATGCAAAATTCGAGCACCCGCCCTCCATCCGTAAAGCTCTTACAAGTTGTCACGCGGATGAACGGGCTTTAAGGCAAGAGCCACATTTTGCAAGCGGGTCGCCCTCCATCGGTTAAATTGCTGCACATCTCAAGCTTCAGGATCATGAGTGGTGAGTCAGTCTCAATCGAAACGCCCAGCCCGCCCTTCTGACTGGCTTCAGGGTGCGACAGAGAGCATTGATAAGGAAAGGGAGTAGAGTGAGCAGTGAGAGGGGATACCAGTTGGGGAGGACGAGGGAGGAGGGAGAGAGAATAAAGGGGGGAGGAGGGAGGAGGGCGAGTATACGCAGGAGGACAGGGGGGAGCAGCAGGCAGGAGGGCTCGGGGGGGAGGCCGAGTGCGGGCTAATATGTTTTTGGCTCCGCCTCGCCTTTCTTGCACTCGGCGTCGTTCTCTTCCTCCCCTCCCTCCTTTTGCTCCTGTTTCTTTCCTCCGCAGCCTGCTGCGGTCCGAACTGCCACGCCGACCCCCCCACAACAAAAGGCAGGCACCCACCAGGTCCGAGCCGATTTGCCAGATATTGCTCCCTCGGGATTGCCTTGGCTCGTCTTTTCCAAGCAGCCCTCGCCCCCTGGTCGGCTCAGCGACCGGGTCCTTCTGCTGGGGCCAACCGATGCTGTACGGCTGCCGCCTCGTGGGCCGCTTCTACACGACGAGGCGAGTGGCGGCTGGCGAGGAGCCTGTGTGTTTTGGGACACCCCCCTCACCTTGATTTGCCTCCTTTTCAACCTCAGGCGAGGGAGAGGAGGAGAGGAGGAGGGGGAGGAGGAGGAGAAGGAGGAGGAGGAGGAGGAAGAGGAGGAAGAAAAACACCAGCAGAAACAGCAGTTGGAGGAGTATCATGACCCGGAGGAGCAGATTCAGCAACTACAGGCTTTCATTCACCAGTTGTCTTGGGCCACGAAACGTGCGACGGGTGTTCCAGAACGGGTGTGGGGAACGCGGGCCTTTGGTGGAGCTCCTGACGGGGCCGCGAAATTGTGAGGGATGTGCCGAAATGGGCGCTGGGGGCGCGCGCGAAAGCTGCCATTGCGGGCCTTCGGTGGGGCTAAACTGTGGGACCTCGAGCCGTATGACGGGTGTGTGGAGATAGGTGCGGGGGGCGAATGCGAACCGCCATTGTGGCGTTCGGTGGAGCTCCATATGGGGCCACGAAACGTGTGAGAGGTGTGCCGAAACGGGCGCGGGGGGCGCATGTGAGAACATCGAGTGCGGGCTGTCGGTGAGGCTCCTTTTGGGGCCACGAATCGTGTGAAGGATGTGCAGAAATGGGCGCGGGGGACGCATGCGACAACCGCCTCTGGGGCCTTCGGTTGAGCTCCCCATGGTGCCACTACGCGTGTGAAGGGTGTGCCGGAATGGGTGCGTGGGGCGCCTGCGAGAACCGTCACTGGTGCCTTCGGCGGAGCCCCCCTTGGGGCCACGGAACGTGTGAGGGATGTGCCGATATGGGTGCGTGGGACGCATGGAAGAGGGCAAGTGGTGCCTCCGGCGGAGCTCCCTATGGGACCACGAAGCTTGCCAGCGGTGTGCTGCAATGGATGCGGGGGGCGCATGCGAGAACCGCCTCCTGGGCCTTCGGTGGAGCTCCTTGCGGGGCCACCAAGCGTGTGAGGGTGTGCCGAATAGGGTGCGGGGGACGCATGCGAAAACCGCCACTGGGGCCTTCGGTGGGGCTCCCCATCGGGCCGCGAAGCGTGCGCGAATTGTGTTGACGAGGGTGGATGGGGGAGGGGGAGAAGAGGAGAGGAAGGCCGCGGGGTACTGTCTCTTCAGATCGAAAACCCAACACCACAGGAAGGTTGGGGATCTGTTTGCTTCAAGCGACCCCGACAGGAGAATGTGAGGCGGCATACCCCAGGAGCAATGGCACAATCTGGACCTGCAGTCATCATTCATCGAAGGCGCGAGGCGGCATGCCCATGGGTCTCGACACTTCAATCGGGCGATCGCAAACATGGAACAAGGCGCGTGGATTCGCGACGGATCGCGGATTTCCGCCGCCGAGCGAGGCGGCACCAACCGCATTTTGGGGAGGGCACCTCCCCCGATCCATGGATTTGGCGACCGCGCGCCAAACCCATGGATCGCTAATCCATGTTTGCTCGCCCCCGGTTCAAGCTTACGGGCCGCAGTACCAAGGGTTTGCCAGGCAGGTCGGGCGGTTTTCCTGTAAGCCTAGCAACCTTCGCCTGTCGTGTTGAGAACAACAGAGAGCAAAAAGGACACGTTCTTCTGGGCGTCTTCGCCCATCACCCTTGCGCAGCAGCGCCCCCGAGAGGAGCGCAATCTTCGTGCTCCCCCCCAACCATTGTGTGGAGGCGAGAGGGGGTGCCTCCCAGCTCTCGCAGCCGGCGCCGTGGCGCCCAGAAAAGCTGGGGCCGGCAGAGGTGGAGGGCGGAGGTCTGGGGCGGGCCAGTGGGGGGCGGGGGAAATTGGGATTGCTGTTTAATGATTAGAAAGTGAAGCAACATCGTTTAACACACACACACACACAGTTTAGAAACACACATATGTATATATATATATATATGTATACATATACGTATATATATACATATATATATATATATATATATATATATATATGCAACTTATATACACATACTTGTACATATAGGTATACAACATTTATGCTGAGTGAAGCAACATCTTTTAACACATATACGTATATCCTTGAGATTCTCATGGGTTTTATCTCGTCCCCCCTCCGTCCTCGAAACGATCTCCTCTAAACCGCCTCTCCGTAGCCGCCTCGGCTCAAGCTGCGGCAGGGTGTGCGCGGTGGAGGTGCTTCTATTAGCCCTGTCAGAGAAGCAAGCGGGGGTCCCCAGAATGACCCCCTCCGAGGAGCCCGCGCCCGAGTGAGCTCCCCCCTCGGCGGCTGGGGGAGCTCACCAGCCCGCGCCGCCGCGGCGGCAGCACGGCGGTGGCGATGTTCGGAGCCGCGGGGGCTGGCGCGGGCGCCCCGCCTGGCCCGCTTGGGTTGGGCCCTGGCGGGGGGCTCCTCGGCGTGGGCGGCGGCGGAGTGCTGGGCGGCTTTCTGGGACTGCCGCCTGGCGTCGGCGCCCTGCTCCCGCCGCCGCCTGCCGGAGTGGCCGCTGGAGCTGCCGCGGCCGCGGGCGGAGCCGCTGCAGGCCCCGCAGCACCAGGAGGCGGAGGCAAGGCAGCGGCGAAGCCCGGGATGGGCGGCAAGGGCGGCATGGGCGGCATGGGTGGCCCAATGGGCGGCATGGGCAAGCCGCCTGCCGCCCCGCCGCCCGCTGCAGGTCGCGGCAGAGGCGCTGGCGCTGGAGCAGGAGCGCCAGCAGCCCTGGGCGGCCCCGTGGTGCCGGGTCTGATCCCAGGGATCCCCGGGGTGGGAGCCCTCGTGGGACCACCCGCTCACGCTGGGGGTGGAGGCGGCCACGCCGTGGCAGGGCAGGCCGCCCACGCGGTGCCAGCCGCCGCCGCGCCTGTGCCCGTGGGCTGGCAGGCAGGCATGCCCGCGGCGGGCGGGGCGCTGCCGCAGTTCGGAGCAGCGTTCGCCCAGCCAGCGGTGGCGGGGGTCGCGGCGGCGGCGCAGCAGGCTGGACCCTGGGTATACGTGCCCATGGCGCCCCAGGCCGTGACCCACGGCCTCCTGGGACTGAGCGCCGGCTGCCGCGTCGAGCTGGTGATGTACGATGCTGCCTGTCAGCCAAGCGGGACGACGACGATGACCGTGACAGGGCTGTATCCGCCTGACGCGGCAGGAGAGTTCGTGGAGTGCACAGTGGAGAGCAGCAGCGACCCTCTCTACCTGCCGATCCTGCAGGGCATCTTCGCGATGGGAAGCAGCGTGGTGCACCTCTGCACCCAGGGCGTGGCGACTTGCTGTCGCACGACCGCTTGGCCAGGGCGCAACGTGGTGCACTCGGACACGTTGCGCGTGCTGGGGGCGGCCGGGCCTGGAGGCGGTGCCGCTGATGGCGCTGGAGCCACCCCGCCTGGCGCCCTCCCTGCAGGCGGTGCGCCGCCCGCCGCTGACGCTGGACCCGTGGTGCCGGGCAAGAACGCAGGTGGAGCTCCCAAGGGCTCAGGCGGTGCCGACGGTGAGGACGTGGATGGCAGGACGGCCGAGGAGATGAGGAAGATCGTCAAGAGGCTGAAGGAGAAGCTTCAGAGGAAGCGCTCCATGGGCGAGGCGCTGGCCGAGCGCGCCGAGGCTGCGCTGGAGGGCCGCCGCAGCCGCAAGAAGCAGAAGAACAGGGACAAGGATAGCTCCGACAGTGCGAGTTTTGATGAGGCCCCGACCGCTGGTTCCGGCCGCCGAGTGCAGAAGCTGGCCCGCTCCGACCCCGGGGCGCTCATGGCGGCGGGTCTGAAGCAGATCCGAGAGTACTTGGCGCAGCGGGGCGGGGCCGACAACGATGATGAGCTGGATAGGATGGCGTCCAACGTGGTGCAGTATATCACGAGCGTGTGGCACGGCATGCACCCTCAGAACGAGATGGGGGTGCGGAATGTGCGCGAGATGAGGATGATCGGGGAGTGCCTGGACGCCCTCACGAGGGGCGATCTGCCGCAGCTGGGCGACATGCTCATGCAGAGGCTGAAGGCCATCGAGCAGGCCACCAAGGACGGGCACTGGAAGATAGCCGAGCACCTCGAGCTGATCGACTCCACCGACATCGGGCTGGCCAGCAGCGCCGAGGCGTCGGCGGCCGTGGCATCCTACTCGGAGGGTGCGAAGTTGAAGGAGCGCCTCACTCGAGCGGGCGCGAGGAGGCCCCCCTAGGGATTCGGCGAGGGAGAGGGCGGGCGCACCAGGACGCCCTCTCCCGCGACGCCGCCCCCACAGACATCGAGTCCTGGAGCACAGGGGGAGAAGGATGCGCCGACGCCCGGATCGAGGAAGGACAGGTGGAGGGCGAAGCTCTGGCGTGGACGCGGCCGAGGGCGAGGTCGCGGTCGAGGGGACGCTGGCGAGGCAGTGAAGAGAGCGTCGCCGAGCCCGGCAGCCGGGACAGGTGCTGGCGAGAGATCGGGGAGCCCGAGAAGCCCGTCGCCCCACTGGCGGCCAGCACCTGGCTCGATCAGCCCTGGAGTGGATCGCAAGCCGGCCCTTCGGAGACCCTCGAGCCCTGTTCGTCGCGCGAGGTTCGCGGACGACGTGACCGCGGAGGCGAAGGCTGGCAACAAGGGCAAGCCGAAGGGCGACAAAGGGCAGCACCGCGGGGCGCCACCTTGGCGCTCGTGGAACCCGAAGGGCAAGGGCGGCACGAAGGGTCAGGCCCGTGGCAAGGGCAAGGACAAGGGCCAGGGCAAGAGGTCCAACAAGAATCGGAAGTAGAATGCATGAGCTTCGAGGGCACTCGAGAGGCGTGTGACTGCACGTCCGACGGCAGCTGGGAGTCCGAGATCACCTTCTCCTCGTACCTTGAGGATGAGTGCAACGGCGCCGCTCATGGCGCAGTCTCGGACGAGCCGTCCACGCGAATTCACGACTTTCCTTACTTGAACCCGACGCGTGCCGCCAGTGAGCTGGGCAGTCTCTGTGGAGCTCCAGTTCGTGTTGTGGGACGCCGTCTAGCTGACCTCAGTACTTCTTCGCCCGCGTCGAGCGGGGCACTTGGCAATTTTGATGCGAAATCGTACGATGATATCCTCTCACCACTGACCGCAGGGAACGGACGGCGTGACCTGCTGCCGTTGCCCTGCGTCGATCTGACGATCGAGGAGTTGAGCATGAACGGCGTTGTGTTCGGCGAATCGGAGCCAGTCGATCCCTCCTTCGAGGACGACCTGAGCGGCTGGCTGAAGCTCACTGTCCTGAGCCTGAATGAACTTCCAGTACGCGCTGGGGGGCAAGCATCCTGGTCTCAAGATGGCCCCCTGGAAGGTAAGGCACGGGCCCGCCAGCGCGGTGCAGCTGAAGGCCCTGAGGTTGCTGGCCAGGAGTGTGGGCACGTTCCTATGCCAGTGCGAGGGCTCCGTGGCGAACCTCGACTGGACCCAGGAGCTGAAGTCGTCGGCAGTGAGCTACACGGGCATGGAGGTGTACCCAGCCGAGCAGCTAGACCGCGAGCGCCTCTTGCTCGCCCTGCCGTCGAAGGAGGCTTGCGGCTCGGTATTGGCGACCGAGGTGAGCGAAGGCTGGATCAGGAGCGTGCTGGAGCACCCGGAGTGGGTGATGAAGAGCCCCGCGGAGCTGGGCGAGATGCCCAAGACCCCGCGCGTCTGGGCCGAGGATGACGAGTGGGAGCTCATCGCGGCCGAGCTCGTGAACAGGGGCATCCTCGTCCCGATCGAGGCCGACGAGATCGTGAAGGTCAAGGGCCGTCGCGTGCTGGGCGGCCTCTTTGGTGTACGAAAGTCGGGACACGTCAAAGGCTCGGGGCCGCAGCGGCTAGTGATGAACATCATCCCGAGCAACTGGTTGCAGGAGACGGTCCAGGGGGACATGGGTCTCCTCCCGACGACAGACAAGTGGAAGAGCATCATCCTGAGGAGCGGCGAGGTGATGATGAGCTCGTCGGAGGACCTCAAGTGCTGCTTCTACGTGTACCGGTTGCCCGCGGTGTGGCACAAGTACATGGCGCTCTCCAAGAAGGTGAGCAGGTCCTGCCTCGGTCTTGACGGGACCGGCGAGGTGCACGCGGCCGCGGCCGTGATCCCAATGGGCTGGGTGTCGGCGACAGGCATCATCCAGCACATCCACCGGCGGCTGCTTCGTGAGTGGCTGGAGGGAGTGCCTCCGCTGCCTGAGGACCGTGAATTGCGGCGCGACCTTCCTCTGCCTCCACATCGTGAGAGAGGCTCGGTGGTCTCTCAGGGCGAGGCGAGGCTGCCGGTGCGAGGCGAGCTGGGCCGATCCTACAGCGACGAGCGCCCACAGGTGTACATCGGTCGCACAGGGCAGCGGTATGGCTTCTCCCCATCCAAGTGGGCGAACCCCTTCAAGGTGTCAAAGATGATGCCGAGGAGCGAGGCCATCGCGAATTACGAGAGCCACCTGCGCGACTCGCCCGATCTGCTGGCTTGCTTGCCCGAGCTCTCGGGCCGTCGCCTCCTGTGCCACTGCAGGCGAGGGCAGCGCTGCCACGGGGACGTGCTGGTCAAGATGTGGGCGGAGACGGTGCCGAAGGCGACGAGAGGAGATGACACGCTCATACCGGAGGGTGCTGGTACGGCCTGCTGGGTGGTGTGGCAGGTGTACATCGACAACCTTGACGTGCTGGAGGTTACCGACGAGGTCTCCGCGGCGGCGCTGAAGGCACAGGGCCCCCCGAGGTGGTGCAGCTGGCTTGCGAGAGGTACGCGCAGCGGGGGGTGCCCAGGAGCGAGGATAAGGCAGTGTGCCGTGAGCCTGTCAGTCAAGTTTTGGGTGAGCTCATTGACGGCACGAGGGGCGTGATCAGCCCGCCCCTGGAGTTCGTGTACCGTCTGCTGGGCCTCACCTTCGCCACGCTGGATCGGAATGTGCTGACTCAGACTTGGCTGCAGGTGGTGGCGGGCCGCTGGGTGCGAGCGATGATGTTCAGGCGTGAGACGATGTCCGTGTTCGACGACCTGTGGCGTGCCGTGGTGCGCTGGAGAGGCGAGCGCAGGCTGCCCGCTCCCGTTCAGAGGGAGCTGCTGCTGGCCGTGGGGCTCCTGCCGCTCATGAGGTGCGACCTCAGGACGCCCGTGAGCGGGCTCGTGACCGTGTCCGACGCCAGCATGCGCAAGGGGGCGGTATGCCGGGCTGTGCGCCTGCTCCCACACGGCGTTGAGGCAGCCAAGGCTTCTCGCAGGCGCCAGGTGGGGCGGCTGCAGGACGAGGGCGTGCTGCTGTCGCTCTTCGACGGGATCGGAGGTGGAAGACGGGCCCTCGACATGCTGGGGCTGAGCGTGGCCGCGTATGCTGCGTCGGAGACGGACCCAGAGGCCTGCCGCGTGGCGAAGTACGCGTGGCCGGACGTGGTGGAGCTGGGCGACGTCACGAAGCTGAGCGCGCAGGACATCGCCAAGATCCGAGACAGGGCCCCTCATGTGCGCTGGGTCCTCCTGTTTGCTGGAGCTCCCTGCGTGGACCTCACCAGGCTGAGCGTCGACAGGCGAGGGCTGTCAGGAGCGAGGTCGGGCCTTTTCTACGAGATCAAGCGGGTGAAGTCGCTGGTGAAGGAGGTGTTCCCCGTGGAGGTCGAGGTGTTCGACTTGATCGAGAATGTGTCCTCCATGACGGCCGAGGATCGCGACACGATGTCAGAGCACATGGGGCTGGCCCCGGTGATGATCGATGCCGCCGACATCTCACACGTTCGCCGAGAGAGGCTCTACTGGTGTGACACCGACCTCATGACGCCGTGGCAGGGCGAAGTCTGTGTGAAAAGTGAGGTGGTGAAAGTGACGATCCCTGGAGGTCCAGGCCCGCTGGGCCGCTGGCTGCGCCCTGGGCGAGAGTGGTCAGGAGCCGAGGTTCCTGAGCAGCGTCTGCCCACCTTCGCGAGGTGCATCCCGCGCGGGCGTGCCGGCGACAAGCCAAAGGGCCTGCGCCAGTGCAGCGAGGCCGAGCTGGAGCGTTGGCGGAGGCACGACTTCTGCTATGCGCCGTACCAGTTTCGAGATCCTCACTGTCTGCGATGGCAAGGAGGTGCGCTGGAGCCTGCGGATTCCTTTGAGAGAGAGATGTTGATGGACTTCCCACCTGGGCACACGGCGACAGCGCGGGCCACGCGGTTCCGCAAGCTGGCTGAGCTCGAGGTGGTACGTTGCGCCCTGCTGGGCAACTCGTTCCAGTGCGGCGTGGTGGCATGGATAGTGGCGCACTGGGCTCACCGACACGGCTACCTGGACTCGGTCCCCACGATGGCGGAGGCGCGCGCGGTCGGAGGCGCCTTCGACGCTGCCGAGGGCCTGGTGCAGGTAGCCAAGGAGGGCGACGACAGCGGGGTGGTGATCAGGGACCGTGGCCTTGAAGAGGCCGAGGCGCAGGCGGACCCGAGCATCCAGATCGTGGAGGAGCTGATCCGGCGAGCTGAGGTGAGGGGCTCGGACGTGCGCCTCGACACGCTGGAGGTCATGCGCCCTGACTTGTGGCCACGCCGCCCGATCAGCGTGAGCCGCTGGACGTGGAAGACAGTGCTGGTCTGGAAGTGGAGGTGGAAGAGCCACATCACGGCGCTGGAAGTGCTGAGCACGCTGGCAGGCCTTCGCTGGCGCTTCAGAGTGGGCCATCACCTTGGCACGAGGTTCGCTCATCTGATGGATTCGCAGGTTGGACTTGGTGTGATATCGCGGGGGCGCTCCTCCTCGCATCTGCTCAACGCAGCCGTCAAGAGGATCTCAGCTCTGGTCCTGGCGGCGTCGGCAAGACCGATCTACGGGTACACCGAGACCGACAAGAACCCAGCCGACGACCCTTCGAGGGAAGGCGGCATGTCAGGTGACAGCAATGCCAAGGAAGCGTCGCATTGACTATGAGATAGACTTGGTGTCCCGCATTCGGGTGCGACGCGCGATTGGCAGATTATCACACACACTAGTTCAACCTCGTACGTTTCGCAGATATGGTCAGATGGTGCAAAGCTTTGTCTCTTGGATTCGTGCCCATGGTATCGACGTGGCCACTGACCTGGAGCAGCTCGACTTCCAATTATGTGAATGGATAGAGACGCTATGGGCGCATGGGAGGCCTGCTGGAGATGCTGGGGCCACCTTGTCTGGCGTACAGTTTTTCTTGCGACGCAAGAGAGTCTTTCACAGTGCGTGGAACCTGCTGAAGGCTTGGCAACGGACTGAGATGCCACAAAGAGCACCACCCATGCCAGAATATGTGCTGATGTCACTTGCCACGGTGGCTCGATCCTGGAGTCGAAATGACATAGCGGTGCTGCTTGTGATTGGCTACTCCGTATTCTTGCGTACAATGGAGCTTCTTACTCTCCGTAAGTGGCAGCTGCAGTTCAGCAACGACGGCCTCAGCCTTGTCATAGCCCTGCCAGCGACCAAGGCAGGCAAGAGACGACACTGTGAGGAGTCCGTCACACTCCACGACGCCAGGATTGTTCACTTCATCAAAGTGCTCACTCAGCATTTGCCGCCTGAGAGCTCGCTGCTGCAGGGCACCGTGCCCGAATTTCGTGATGTGTTCAAAGCTCTCTTGAGGTCATTGAACCTCGAGCGGCACGGTTATCATATATATTCTTTACGCCGTGGAGGTGCCACCACTCATTACAGAAGGTTCGAGAACATGGGCTTGACTTTGATAGTGGGGAGATGGCAAGACACAGCTGTGGCCAGACTGTACATCAGTGACGGTGTGCAAACTTTGCTGCAGAACGATTTCTTGCCTGCAGAATTGGAACGATTTCGTGTACTGGCGAGTGCTCTTAACTTTGATGTGGGTTGAGATGAAAAGAAGGAGCAAAATATCTGAGCAGCTTCGCTGTCAGCATTTTCCTGACCCTCCCACCCGTCCCTGGGGATTAATGGCGGTTAACCAGAAAGGGGTGCATGGAAAGGGGTCCCGGGGGGGGTTCGGACTCGCGTCGAGCGCTGCCGCCCTCACCCGAGGGGGTTCGGACTCGCGTCGCGCTGCCGCTCCCGGTCAACTCCGAGGGGTCGGACTCGCGTCGCGCTGCCGCCCCTGGCCAGGCTTCGGAGTCCCCGGAGGACATGGGGGGGGTCTCCGCTGGCAGCCCCCCTGTAGCACAAAACCTCTGGTGAGAGGAGTAAAAAGGAGAGAGACGGGGAAAGGGGACACAGAGATAAATATCCTTGAGATTCTCATGGGTTTTATCTCGTCCCCCCTCCGTCCTCGAAACGATCTCCTCTAAACCGCCTCTCCGTAGCCGCCTCGGCCCCGCCCTGTAACCCTGCCCAAGCCGAGTTGGCTAAAAGATGTGCCGATTGCGAGCCATCTGAGGATGTGCTGACGCCATCCCAGCAGGAGTGCCGGGGAAAGGGGTCCCGGGGGGGGTTCGGACTCGCGTCGAGCGCTGCCGCCCTCACCCGAGGGGGTTCGGACTCGCGTCGCGCTGCCGCTCCCGGTCAACTCCGAGGGGTCGGACTCGCGTCGCGCTGCCGCCCCTGGCCAGGCTTCGGAGTCCCCGGAGGACATGGGGGGGTCTCCGCTGGCAGCCCCCCTGTAGCACAAAACCTCTGGTGAGAGGAGTAAAAAGGAGAGAGACGGGGAAAGGGGACACAGAGATAAATATATATGTATATATATACATACATACACATATGTATATGTACATACATAGACAGATACATCTACATCGATGTCTGTGTGCGTGTGCGTCTGCTACAAAAAGAAAGTTGCGTGCACCCCGTGAGCCCCCCCGCCCGCTGGGCGCCCCCGTCGCTGCGGCACGTTTTCCGCCTCTCTACAGCTTCGCGGGGGGCGCCGTGACGACAGGGGTCGGCAGGGCGTGAGAGGGACCTTTCGCCGGAGCGACCTCTGGTTCAAGCCGTGGCGAGGCGTCCCAGCTCGCCTAAAGAATGTTCTAATATTATTTTGAAGTCTGCACGACATGTTCTCAGAACATGTCTTGAGATTGCACGACATGCCGTGACGACAAGTCGACAGGGCGTGAGAGTGACCTTTCGCCGGAGCGACCTTTGGTTCAAGCCGTGGCGAAGCGTCCCAGCTCGCCTAAAGGCTTTCCAAAGAATGCTCTAATATTATTTTGAAGTCTGCACGAGCGAGTGGAGTCGACAAGGCGTGAGAGTGACCTTTCGCCGGAGCGACCTCTGGTTCAAGCCGTGGCGAAGCGTCCCAGCTCGCCTACAGTGAGCGGCTTGAGTAAGGAACACCTGCTTTTCAAAAGCGGCTCGGTCGTTCCTTAGGCTTGCATGCGGTATTTACAGTTCCTTATGCGTTATATGTTGTGTATCGTTCCTTATGCGTTATTCCTTGGGGTAAAACAGTGGGTTCGTTCCTTATCTATCGTTCCTTAGGTCAGGCCGATGACTGTATATCGGGGCTGGACAGACCTCCTACCCTGACACGTCGATTAGTGAATTGGCTGTTTTCGGTTCGCGGGAGGGCGTCGCGGCCGTCACTTTTGCGGGTCCAGGTCCATCGGGTTCGGTCCCAGCCCGTTTTCACTAAGGGGAGGTCTACTAAAGGGAGGTTTGTCCAGCGCCGACTATAGGCTTTCCAAAGAATGTTATACTATTATTTTGAAGTCTGCACGAAATGTTCGCAGAACATGTCTTGAGACTGTCTTGTTTTAGCACACCTGGTTTTTGTTATATAAGAACATTGGTCCTGTTATTAGAACAGTTCTGGCTTCTAAGAACATATCGAGGTAGGCCTATAGGAATGCCGGGACGGTCGGTCCCTGTGGTACGAGCGCAGTGGGGTCCACCGATCGCCGAGCACAGTGCGACATAGAAGCGTCTCGCGCGCTTGTGCTTGGTCCCTCCTCGGCCCCCAAAGGAGCCGCGCACCCGAGGTCTATCTCTTGCCCTGGGTGAGTCTTGCGTGTCCTCGAAGGCAGCGTGCAGTGGATTCGCTGACCCCCCTCCGGCTAGAGCATCCCCCTGGCCGGCGCGGAGATCACCGCGCGTCGCGCGTCGCGAGCCGAGCAGAAGCAGCCCCCCGTCCCCAAGGCGGTCCGGCACGAGGGCCCGATGGCTCAAGGGTAGCCGCGCGGCCCGCACCGCGGAGCGCAGTGTGCGCAGTTTGGCGGCCCCTGGCCGGCCATTGCCCCCCCCGCGTGTCGCCCGCCTCGGGCAGGCCGCGGGCGCGCGCCGCAGTGGCGCCGGAGCCGTCTGGCAGCCCAGTCAAGCAGTGGCGAAGCGTCCTGGCGCGCCTATGGCGCTACCAAACAAGGTTCTAAGAACCTCTCGTGGTTTCCACGAGCTGTTCTCAGAAACTTTCTGGCGGAGTCTGTCCTGTTTTATCACATCGGGTCTATGTTCTAAGAACACTGTTTTGTTATTAGGACATTGCTGGGTTCCAAGAACATCTCGTGGGACGGGTCCTGCATCTGGGCGCCTGGCTCGACTGGAGGAGAGGAGAGCAGAATGGGCGAGGCGGGCAGGAACGGTCGGACGACCTTGCAGTTGCGTGCTCTGGTTGGCGCCGTGCCGTCTCCTCGCTTCCACCGTCGGGAAAAGGAAGCCAGCCTTCATTCACGTTCTTTTCCCCTCAGTCCTCGTCACGCTTCCGTCACCGTCTCCGCGCCCTCACCCCCTCCTTTCTACTGCATATCCATCTCACCTCCTCTTTCTCCCCTCCATCTCTCCCCATCCTGCCTTCTTCTCCTTTTCCCCTTTAATTTTATTGCCGCTTATTAGATGCTGGCTCGAGCG